TTGCGTGGTTTTTGTCAAACGACTAAAAATGAGAGATGGTTTTCAAAGTGTTTTTGTTGGAGAACCGTTTAAACATGCCAAAGAGTGAAAGCAGATCATAAAATGCTGAAAATCACTTGGTTGGTTCGGATGCCAAAAACCAAACCCGACAACCGAAAGCCGAACGCTGGTTTCTTAAAGCCGAACACTGGATGGCTTGGTTTTTGGTTTGGGCGAACACCAAGTGTTTTTAATGACTTAAACAAGTTTGAAAAACATTTTTATGATGTAAGAAATGCAATGAGAGATTTTAGCCTAAAGAGCCAAGGTGTAAAGATTGGGTCGGTCTTGATCACAATAAAGACCGACTCAATACTATGATTAAGGTCTTCGTTCTTGGTCTTCGTTTAGCTCTTTCTCTTATCTTCGTTCTTCGCCTTGTATATTAAATGTTCGACTTGATCATGGCGGTTTAGCATTATCAAAACCTGTTACAAGAACGAACACGGCTTTAGTACGAAAACGTGACAAGCCCGTGTTTCAACACTATCTTAGAACAATAATGGCATACTACGTTTGGATTATGCATATGCCCAGGTTGAGCCAAAAACTTTATAGGTGATCTAAAATCATTATTCATAGAATTATTAACTAAATTCCTAGACTCATTTCTAGGTTGTCTCAAAATATTTCTACCATTTGTAAAAATCCTAGAGTCAATTCTAGGTTATCTCACCTTGTTACTTTTATTCTTTCTAAATTTAATTTTGTTATACCTAGGATTATTAGTTCTTCTAGGTGGTTTATCATTCTTAACTTCTTGACAAAGTTTCTTAGGCTCTTCTACCTTAATTTTTTCAATGGTGCTCTTAAGTTCTACATTCTCTACTTTTAAAGACTCACAAGAGGAACAAGTAGAACTTTGGTCAAAGAAAGAATCTTCATTCATTGCCTTAATTTTATTTTTGAGGTCAAAATTATCATTTTCCAAAAAATTTTTTCCTCTTCCAAAGCATGAATTTTTGCCTTAGCCTCTTTGGCAATTTTTGAAGTTTTCTTTAATTCACCAAATAATTCTTGAAAGGCTTCTTGTAATTCTTCAAATGAGAAAGAGTTAGAAGCACTTACCTCTCCATTTCGTTCATGAGCCATAAGACATAAGGTGGCAGTTTCGTCACCAGAACATTCTGAATCCCATGCCATGTATGCTCGTTCATTCTTTTTCTTTTCCTTGCGGTTTGGGCAATATGGCTTTATGTGGCTAAGTTCTCCACAACCAAAGCACGTTAGAACGGGTTCCCCCTTTCTTTTACAATCTCGGGACCCAAGTTCTTCCTTCAAAAACTCTTGGAACTTCTCGAGCAAGTTATAAGAAGGAATATGGTCATCGCTATCGGAGTCACTTACCTCTACCCTTTTTGAGGATGAGGCTTTGAGAGCGAGACCGGGACTCTTGTCAAGAGAAGGTTTAAGAATAGTGGATTCCTAAGTTTTAAGATTACCTCGAAGACCATCGATGGTGACATTGGTGTTACCAATCGACTCATATATGGCATCGGCTTTTGAACGCCATTCCGGTGTTAGGCTCCGAAGGATTTTTCGAACAAGATCTTTGTTCGAGTATGTTTTACCAAGGACATGTCCTTCCTCAAGAATGTCCCTCAGTAGGTCGGGTTGGTGGCGGAGCTCATCCTGGACAAACTCGAACCCCAACCCGGCAAGGGTTTCCTCTGTCACAACCTCTTTGATGTTCATAACTCCCTTATTGCAGAATTGGCGAGTGATAGACAAAAGGGTGGCATCAGGTGGGGGGCGTGGGATGTGACGGAAGGAAGGGCGCCCTGAACCCGTGAAAGGAGATTCGGGCCCCGTCGCAACGAAGACAAAGAAAGGCTTCCAGTCTTTGGTTGACCCCTTCTTATCACTAGCAAAGAGTTTACTGGACCTCTGGGAAAGACTGGCATAGGACGCCCAATCTTTATGGCCCTTGGTCAGTTTGAAGGTGAATATGAAATGGTCCAAGGTCGGCTTCACCCCTACATCTTTGCACCGGACCAGGTAACCGGCGATGTACCGGTGAGAGTTGGGGACCAGTTGGTACGGGAGAAGGTCCACCACGTTGAGGAATTCCATCAACAACGAGTGGAGTGGGAAGCGCAGCCCCTTCTTCAAAGACGCCAGATGGACCGTGAAGAACCCCGACGGTGCGTCTAGAGCAGTTTGAGTACGGGTAGGTCTCATGACCTCGATGGAGGGTCCAACCATGTCAGTGGCATCGGCGAACCCCCGATCAGTAATTTGACAATGGCACAACGCCATGATGTTTTCGTCCAATTTAACCCTTGAGCCCTCATCTACTGGAGTTGAGGAAGGGTATTGCTTCCTCAATCGACGCCGTTTGTGGCCAGGCACGTCCGACGGCGACGGCTGGGGTGATGGAGTGTGGCCGGGGTTACGGTCAGAGGCCGATTGACCGGCTTGGCGAGAATTGGACGATGGGGTAGCCGAATCGGAATCTGAGATAATCATGGCGGCGAGAGAAGGAACTGACCTGGACAGGAAGAAGAATGAGTCGGGTGAGCAGCGGAGTTGCAGACGAACGGTGGTGAAGAAGGCGAAAGGAAGAGATGGCGTCCAGCGGCGGTTTTTAACTGAAAACAGGAAGGCGAATCGGCAGGCCATGATTACTTATTTGTGGAGATCGTGCCCAAGTGTCGTGCGGAACCCAAGGAACGGCCCGGATCCCCGCTGGAGCGTCCACGTGGACTTTGCAAACTCCCCACTCCTCCGCTTGGCCTAGCTGAGGACTAAGGAGTTGGGGGGCTTATGATGGGCCGATATCCAGAGGACGGCCCAAATGAACCATTTAAACAACTTCGGGTCAAGCACCTGTGAAATACCCAAGCTGGGCCGGCCCAAGGTGCTGGGCCTAGTTAACCTCAGGCTAAGCGCAGCTGGCAGAGTCAGTCCAAAGAAGGAGACGGAGCTGATTGACCGTTACGGAGCTGGGAAAAGGGGATCGCGCCCTTGGCGGGCTAGACTCCATCGGTTATGCTTCACCTTAATTGTTTAGAGCTCATGTATAAATAGAGGGGACCCGAAAGGGGAGAACTCAAGCTAAATCAAGCTAGTAATACACATCCAATTCTCGAATTCTTGTTCTTAATTTTGTTCTTACGATCCGCTTTGTAAACCGGATCATTTGGTGGGTTTATTGTCCATCANATTGGCCGTTACGGAGCCGGGAAAAGGGGATCGCGCCCTTGGCGGGCTAGACTCCATCGGTTATGCTTCACCTTAATTGTTTAGAGCTCATGTATAAATAGAGGGGACCCGAAAGGGGAGAACTCAAGCTAAATCAAGCTAGTAATACACATCCAATTCTCGAATTCTTGTTCTTAATTTTGTTCTTACGATCCGCTTTGTAAACCGGATCATTTGGTGGGTTTATTGTCCATCAGATAGAAACGGCTCGGCCAACCAAGCCCCTGATCATCTGTCAAGCTCAGACGTGGAGTTAGCAGAACAGTTTGGCAATTGTGAAGTGAACAAATCCTTTCCCTTTGAAGGGATTAATGTTGTCCAAGACAAGGAGCCATGGTACGCGGACATTGCCAACTATTTAGCTGGGAAGGTCTAGCCTACACTATTAACCTTGCACTTGAGCAAAAAAGCCAAAGCGAGAAGCTCACTTCTATTTTTGGGACGATCAATACCTCTTTAGAATCTGTGCTGATCAAGTTGTTAGACGTTGTGTTAGCGAAGCAAAAGGACATGAAATCTTGGCAGCCTGTCATAATGGCCCAGTTGGGGGTCATTTCTCAAGAGCAAGAACGGCAAGGAAGGTGCTGGACTCAGGATTCTTTTAGCCAATGCTATTCAAAGATGCTAACCGCTATATTGCTACCTGTGATCGCTGTAAAAGATTAGGAAACATGTCCAAGAGGGACAAAGTGCAACAACAGTACATGATGTCGTGCGAAGTGTTCGACGTATGGGGAATTGACTTTTTGGGACCATTTCCAAGTTCCTATAGCAACAAATACATTCTCGTTGCTATCGACTATGTCTCCAAATGGGCTGAAGCCCAAGCATGCGAAAAGGACGATTCACGGACTATAGTCCAGTTCTTGAAAAACCTATTCTCTAGATTTGGAGTTCCAAGATTAATAATAAGAGACAAGGGTACCAATTTCCGTAACAATCCCATGTCTAAGGCATTAGAACGCTACAGTGTTCAACACAGAGGAGGAGTGGCGTACCACCCCCAAACACAAGGACAAGTGGAGAATGCGAATAAAAATCTACCATGATGCTCACAACAAATAGAATAAAGTTTTTCATGAAGGTGATAAATTACTCATGTACAACTCCCGATTAAGGTTGTTCCGAGGTAAGCTTTGCTCTAGATGGATGGGACCGTATACTGTCACTAGGGTTTTTCTTCATGGGGCTATAGAACTCAAAGGTGAATCTAGGACATTCAAGGTAAACGGGCAACACGTAAAACGATACTTTGGTGAGCAGTTCTAGAAAGACAATGTGGAGATCAAACTCCACAAATGATGAATGAATTGCATAAAGCTAGTGATGTTAAAGAAGCGCTAAACGGGAGGCAACCCGTTATCTTTCCTTTACTCTTTTAATTTTCCTTTTACTGTTTATTTTATGATTGGATGAAAAGAACGGAGACTTGTCACACCTGTATGTGAGGGGGCAAGATTTTATTGATTTGTTTCATGTGTAGATGCCTCACCGACCCGAGTTCCCCACTGCTGCCAAGCCGATGTCCATTTGGTTGGTTCTAGACCCATCGAGCGATTCGGGACATGGGGGCGCCACCGCTCACTGACAGAGTCTGTGTACCTTTCACTGGCAGTCCTTGGCGACTATGGGTATGCAGAAGACATGGAGCAGTTACTCCATGGGACGAGGTGGGAGCGTCTCATCATGATGCGATCCGAGTCTAGTCTGCCTTTGACTATCGAGTTCTTGTTCTCCTTGGAGGTGGAGCCATCATTTGGGTCGCGGACGCTGAACTTTCGTTGCATCGACTCTCACACTACACTAGCCTTCACTCTCTTAGGGCATGTGTATTGTCTAAGAGTCGGGGATCTCACTAGGCATTTGGGTCTTTACACTTGGGAGGAGACGATGGAGCAGGAGCTCCATGAAAAACCATTACTTTTTCCCAATGATGTGGACCGGGTTGCTTTTTGGGCGGAGCACTCTACTGACCCGGATCGCTTTGATGTTGTGAGCCAGGCAAGGTTCTGGATCCAGCTGACTTGGCGGATCTTATCTTTTGTGTTATCCACGTCCTTCTTCGGAAGGCCATTAAGCACAAATCGGGTGTATGCCGATGACCTCATAGTCTTCTGGAGCTTGCACAAAAGTCAGCTGGTGAACGTGGCCGTCTTTCTACTTCGATTTCTTTACAGCCAGTCGTTGGGGAACCGGACGCACATCGTTTTCGGCTTTGTTGTTACACTACTCTTCCGGTCTCTTGTGAGTGCCCCTCTGTTCTGTAATCCCAGATGTCGATGTGAGACTTGGACGTGGGTATGCTGCGGAACGCCATATTCACAGGAGGTTGGGATCTAGCTCTTCCGAGAGCAACACTGCCTCCTCCTCTGCACCATCCACGTCAAGAGCATCTTCCCGGCCCCTTTCTAGGAGAGTCACTCATCGCTGCCCCGCCACCTCCTGAGCCCCTGCTTCCATTCCCAATATACCATTATTCGGACTATGGAGCAGTGGCAGACATCCCAAGCTGAGACTTTTTCTCAGCTTCGAAATGTCTTCTCCAGCTTCTATACAGATGTGCACACTGGTCTCATGCCCCTCCCTCCTGAGGGCAATGATCCCTCTTCTTCTACCCCTCCCTAGTGATTTTTCCATATCTCTTCTATGAACTTCTTATTCTTTTTATTTATGAGCAGGAAATTGATGCTCGACTAGCTTAGTTGGAACTTCTTATTTTCCTCTAGTAACATTTATTTATGAGCTTGTTTTATTTGTGATGGACAATAAATCCACCAAATGATCCGGTTTACAGAGCGGATCGTAAGAACAAGAATTCGAGAATTGGATGTGTATTACTAGCTTGATTTAGCTTGCCTTCTCCCCTTTCGGGTCTCCTCTATTTATACATGAGCTCTAAACAATTAAGGTGAAGCATAACCGATGGAGTCTAGCCCGACAAGGGCGTGATCCCCTTTTCCCGGCTCCGTAACGGCCAATCAGCTCCGTCTCCTTCTCCGGGCTGACTCTGCCAGCTGCGCTTGGCCTGAGGTTAACTAGGCCCAGCTCCTTGGGCCGGCCCAGCTTGAGTATTTCACAGGTGCTTGACCCGAAGTTGTTTAAATGGTTCATTTGGGCCGTCCTCTGGATATCGGCCCATCATAAGCCCCCCAACTCCTCAGTCCTCAGCTGGGCCAAGCGGAGGAGTGGGGAGTTTGCAAAGTCCACGTGGACGCTCCAGCGGGGATCCGGGCCGTTCCTTGGGTTCCGCACGACACTTGGGCACGATCTCCACGAATAAGTGATCATGGCCTGCCGATTCGCCTTCCCGTTGTCAGTTAAAAACCGCCGCTGGACGCCATCTCTTCCTTTCGCCTTCTTCACTACCGTCCGTCTGCAACTCCGCTGCTCACCCGACTCGTTCTTCTTCCTATCTAGGTCATTTCCTTCTCTCGCCGCCATGATTGTCTCAGATTCCGATTCAGCTACCCCATCGTCCAATTCTCGCCAAGCCGGTCAGTTGGAGGTGGAGAGGAGCGATCGGGTCCGCCATGCAGAGGGAGCGGTAGAATCCTTCAAGTCCTCTCCTGACTTCACGGTAGTCGCGATGGAGCGGATGGAAGAGCTAACGACCGCTTGGCTCAAAACTGAACTTGGGGCTCAATGGATGGTCAAGGAGGGAACCAAGTCCTTCAATTGCGGACTCTTCCATGCCCAACAGGTCTTCCATGACAGGCTGGCCCAGCTCCCTAAAGGATTCTCTCTCCCCGACCTTGGCTTCCCTCCTCCCTGCCGCTCCTTGGCCGAGTTCAACCCCAGTCCCTATCCGGACGGGGGGAGCTCGAGTGCGTCGGAAGAAGAGGAAGAAGAAGAAGTGGAAGGTGGTCAGAGCGACCAGAATCTAGGGGCCAGCTTAGCCATGTCCAAAGCGGGTGGACCTTCCGGCTCGGCCGTCTAAATCCCCCATTGTTCCCCCATAGCTTTACCAACACTTGTCTCTCTCTTTTCCTTCGGAATGATTTGTCGTTTTGATACAATGCTCCTGTGTTGTTTGATTTTCTAGATTCACCATGTGCTTTCTCTCTTTGGCGCTTTACTTCAGCACTCTCTTTTTTTATTTAGCTGGTTAACATGTATGTTTTAGTTTGGGCCCAACTCCTAGTCCCGACCCGTTTACCTGTCCGGGCTCAATCTCTGGATTGGCCATCGTGCCGCCCAATTGATCCAATGCCCTTCATCGTTTCTGATTGGACCTTCACGCGGCTCAAAGCTGCTTTATTGGTTCGGCTGCCTCGAGACTTGACCGCCTCTTCGGTTCCTTCGCCCTGGCTTATTTATAAGTCCCCCTGGCCTCTACTCTGCTCCATCACCAAATACCCTCCTTTTCTCCATTCTTGCCATGTCTGAAGGAATTCCTGTTTCTTTAGATCTTTCCGACGGGCCGGCTCCTTCTTCGCCGGAGCCTGCCCCCTCCCCCAAGTCAGTCAATTCCAATGACTGGGGGGGCTTGACCCTTACGAATTCTGTCGCCGGTTGCCTCGCCGGTAGTGGCCGTCGGTGAAACCGCCGCCACCACCTCCAAACCCTTATGAAGACTTTAGTGAGGCGTACGAGGCCCTCTCCGCCAACCGCCTGCCTGACGGGCGGATTGACTGGGATGCTCCATGCCCCCTCCATTCCCTGCAATGTATGGCCTGGGAGAGCTTTCAAGACGAGCACTTACCCCTCCTGGAGCATGAGTGCGCATACTACGCAAGTTTTGAGCGATGGACTAGCGAAAGTCGCACCAGTTCGCCGGTGAGGCCTACGGAGGAGGTTGTGTTAGGGGAAGAACTGGGTTCTCCCCTACCTCGCCCTGCTTGCCATTCACTTCCCTAGAAGACCCCTAGGCGACCTGAAGTAACTCGGGCGGCTCCAGGATCTCCGTCCTCGCCTAGGTGATGCTGGTTGGGGTTCACAGAGAAGTGAGCCGTCCCCCGTCCTTCCTTGGTAGGAGAAGGGCGGTGGGTTTTTGCTGAGGCTGGGGGCGACCACTCCCGTTCCATGTTGGGGAAGAAAGGTGGTCGTCCTGGACGGCCGGTGATCGGAGTTTTGCCTGCCTATACAGCCGCAGAACTACCTTTCAAACCTGCCTGTCCCCCCTAGGCCTTCGCTCGCAAAGTCTTAGATTGTTGTTTTTCATTGTAGGAGGTGTATGGGGAAGTATCCTTTCTTACGTAGAGATTATTCTCAACTGTACTGTAGTAGATGCAAGAGATTATCCTTGAAATGTAATGAACATTTCTGTGAATGTATTTTGATGTTACCTGTTTACTTACAAGTTTCACCTTCTTCTCTTTCGCATCCTACTTTTGACGTTCAGGTTTCCTCGGACTTGAATCAGAGAATACCTCGCCTCTTTTGACTTAGCCACTTTCGGGTTACTTTGACCCTTGTGGCGTCGCCATACCCCCAAGATCCCCTGGTCGCTCATGCGATCAACAGATCTTGTGTTCCAGACATAGCCGTTCTCTCAGACTTTCTTGCCACGGCGTTGTCTTCAACCTTGGTCGCTTGACAGAGTTCGACGCTTCACCCATTACTGGGTGTCTTAGCACGAATCACCGTGCAATTTGAGCGATCTCTTGTGGTTGCTCCTTTTTTTTTGAGAATTGGAGACAAGATGTGCCAGAGAGCTGGATTTATTAAATCTCAAGAAAAAGACATGGATGGAATACAATCTATTGATAAAATTTAATAAGGTTGGCGGCATTCCATACTCGCGGAACGTCGCCATCGGTTGGAGTCTGCAATCTAAATGTCCCATCAGCCAACACCTCCTTTATGATATATGGCCCCTCGAAGCTTTTAGCAAACCTTCCTCCATCGGTCGGCCGGCTGACCTCCCTCTTCCGAAGGACCCAGTCGCCCATCTTGAACTGCCTTGGTCGCACCCGATGGTCGTGATATGACTTGACCTGCCGGCGGTAGTTTTCTGCCCGCATATATGCCCTTTCCCTTCGCTCATCAATGAGGTGCAGCTCTGCCCTCAGGTTCTCCTCATTTCCTTGAGCATCAAACGTCTCTACTCTATAACTTAACAACGAGGTCTCCGCTGGAGCCCTTGCTTCAAATCCATATGTGAGTGAGAAAGGAGTTTCACCTGTTGCCTTCCTTGGGGTAGTTCTGTAGGTCCACAAAATATGGGGCACTTCTTCCACCAAGGCACTTTTGCATTCCATTATCTTCTTCTTGAGGCCATCCATGATGGTACGATTGGTGTTCTCTACCTGCCCGTTGGTTTGTGGGTACCCGACCGCTGCATAGCTGTGTTTTATGCCCCAGCTCTGTAGAAACTCATTTTACCCTCTGGCCTCGAATTGGGTTCCGTTGTCAGTGATGATCTGCTGGGGCACCCCAAATCGGCACAAGATTTGCTTGGAAACGAACTTCGTCATCTGTTCCGCAGTGATGGTTGGCACGGGGGCGGCCTCGACCCACTTGGTGAAGTAGTCAATCGCGACCACCAGGTATGTGTTGTTCCCCATCCCCCGAGGCAAAATACCGACCAGATCGATGCCCCACCGGGCAAAAGGAGTCGCTGTGCTTATCGGGGTATAATTCGTCGCCGGTCGCCTTGGCATCCTATGGAATTCCTGGCAAACCATGCATTTGCGCACGTACTCTGCGCAATCTCTGATAATCGTTGGCCAAAAGTATCCTTGTAGGGTCACCTTCCTGGACATCGTGAAGGCTCCCTGATGTGCTGAACATATTCCCTCATGGATTTCCTCCATTAACTTCTGTGCCTCGCCCGTTCTTAAGCACCTCAACAATGTACCATTGTACGATCGCTTATACAGCCGACCGCACTCCAGCGTGTAGCTGGGTGCACGTCGCTTCACCACCTTTGCC